TTTTCTACAAACTAAAGGTCATTGGTATATATATAGCAGAGATTTTTTTTATAGTTTTAAGAATTTGTATTTAATTTAGAAGAATTACAGTCGTGTATAAGCTTTAAAATTCTAAGCAATTAATTTTTTAAAAAAAAGCACAAACATACATTACTCTCTATTCTCTAAATTAAACCATTAAAGGAAATAGTTTTAAAATATCCCAAATTAGTAAAACATCTCAAATTTGTGAGTGCGCGTGCGTGTGTTTCTTTATATATATATATATAAAGAAACACATATTCTTAAGAAAAACAGAAATAAGGAAATAATTAATAAAATATCAAAATACAAAACCCGAATTCAAAAACTCCATGGCAAACATAACACAAAGAAAACATAATTTAAACTTAGTTTAAAAATTTATAAATTAACCAAACGCAACCTTAAACTTAGAATCAAAAAAAAGGATTAAACTATTTTGAGGGTACCAACCTTTCCCTTATTTCAACTTGATAGGCTAAAATGTGTGGAAATATCCAGATGTATTAAAATTTCAAAAACGTATAAGTTAAAATTTCAAAAATTGAGATAATCACCCCTACCCCCTAACTTGAAAATATTAAGACGCAATAAATATCAAAATACTAAAATAGCAAAGCATATATCAGAACTTAACTAAAACAAAAAATAAATATATATTCACTGATACTAAAATAAAAATACTGAAAAATACTCAGATATCAAAAACTTAAGATCCACTTAAAGATCCGAAAAATATCAAAGTTATGATCATAATAAAGTTAAGATCATTATGTGTAACACTTTAGCTTGAACGTACATTTTTTTGCGTTCAATACATTGTCATTGTATGGGGGAAAGGGTTCGATGAAAATTCTGATTCAAAACTTGGTCACCAATATTGAAAGTTTGAGAAGAACTGCCTTAGTAACTTGGTTGTATACAATTTGATTGGCTATGAAAAATGTTATAACCTAGACATGTAAGGTAAACTTGGCGAATATGAGCACCCAAACACTTAATTGAAAATATACAACACTGAAATCCTCCACTGTTCCAAAATCAGGATATTTCAAACTTTAGAGTATGGTCTTTCTAATGGTATATAAACAAACCTGTAACTCTTGTTGCTACTTGAATAAAGAAACTCCAAAAACCAAATTCTGCAATTGCCCATATTTGCTTAATTCTTTAGCTAATTTCGGCACAATTGTCGGAAATATAGGCAGGTTACATTATAATAAAGATAAGAGAAACTGTCATCTCTACATTTACTTTTTCCCAACAGCAATGTATTTTTACACAAATAACATGTTTGACAAGTAATAAGAAGTAAAATTTACCCTTTGTTATTGAACAAATTGTATCACAAAAAATTGTTCAAATTTTTACCCATAAATTAAAAATAATTAAATGGTGAAAACCAGATAAACTTTTAAATTAACACGAATTATTATAAACATAAAGAAAAAATCTATCATACACTACACTCATTACAATAGCTCTAACTCGACGCAATCCTCATGGAACCAGGGTGAATGAGAGACACAGCATTGCACTCATTCCTATCCTTGATTTTCATCATAATAGTTAGTACAGCATTTCTAAAACTGTGGGGCGCGCCCCCCTGGGGTGGCGTGATAACCCTACAAAAGGGGCGCGAGCATATCGAAAATAAAAGATTTTTAAAAAAATTAACTGGAACAAAGCAAAGCAAAATTCTTCCTGGCATAATAAAAAAAAATACACAATTACACTGATATAACATATATATATCATCTTGCGATATTGCGTCATCAAAGATAAAAGCTCATTAGCTATCTTTGATCCTATAACCAAATAAAAAAAAACATTTTGTTTGATTTGCTGTAATCCCACGATGAGAGATTTTTTTATTACGTTTTCTTTTTAAACATAAAATACTATTCTTTCTGAGAAAAAACAAAAACGCAGATCAAGAATCAAAAATATTTTAGGACGATAAAAAATTCACTGCTGTGATTTGCTGATCAAGTGTTTAACCTTAGAGCTTACTGGTACGGTTAGTTATAAATAACGTATTTCTGTTGCACTTTTTTCTTTGTAAAAGAGTTTTATGCTATTTGGAAAAGCGCAGAGAGCACTTTGAAGGATTATTTGGCCAAGATTTATATTTATGAGTATTTTCAAGCATATAAAGCATAATGAAAAACATAATTCTTTTAACAAAACATAACGTTCATTACATAATTCTTTTTAGAACATCCATATTTTTATACTGAATACACATTTAACCCAGGACTGGTCCCACGGGTCATCTGTGATCTCTATTAAGGGAAGTTGAAACTGATCAAGCAAGGGGAGAGCGTGTTGAAATAATGCATATTAATCCTTAATGCATATTATCTCGAATGAACATAATAATTATCCTATTACTATAAAGTATATAATTTACTTAAAATATATATATATATTACTTAAAAGTAACTTATACAAAATTTAATGCTTATATTGTGGATATGTACGGTTTATAATTAAGATCGCATTGCAGCTTTAGTGTCAAAGTGCATTAATATTGCATTCAATACATTATTATTGTATAAGGGGGGCACGATAAAAATTATGATTGAAAATTGGGTCTCTAGTACTGAAAGTTTGAGAAGCACTGAGTTAGTATCACAAATAGGACAAAAACAAGATGCATTGTGTTTGCTGGCACTTGCTGTTGTGCTCAGCGTTTTGCCCCTGCATCTTCTCTACTACCTCCGGTGGGAACTCTCTTCTTCGTAGAAGCCAGACCTGCACTTGTCAGCTCTCTTGCAACTTTCTGACTTCTTCAACGATTTCTGCAGGTTGTTTTCAGTGTTGGAATTGGACTCATCTCCTCCAAAAATAAGGCTGCTGTTAGTGAGAATTCAGTAGGGATAATATAAGAGCCATGTGCTGCTGTAACTTGGCCTAAACCTCTTCCTTATAATAAGGAAGTGGTTTATGGAAGGAAGATTAACTCAAAGGACGTGTAGGACGAGAGAATGGTCTGGGAGTAGGGTTGGAAAATATTACTTTATCAAATTTTGGTACTTCCCCTATTACCTTTAATCTTACTGTCCATATTTGCTGTAGTGACATTATTCAATAAATGCCATTAATGTCCAAGGAAGAAAGAACGAAACCACCAGTTCCCGACAACGGATACTACACTTACATAAGATTTCAGCCATTTATAGATTTCATATAAAATTGATTAATTTTGCACGTAAATCTTAAGTAAGATTTCTAAAATATGTTATAACTACCACTATTTGAAGAATCAGAATTACATTGTACTTGCAATAGATATGGTACATTAGCTCTTCTGTTTGATCCTCACAACACAAACGAATTAAACAGTCACCATGACGCTTGAGCATTACCAAAACCAGAGTGAGAATGTACCTACTTAAAACCATTACTTGTAATATGGGTATTTGCTTAAATGTGCCTATATAATTTTATGCCCATATTTGCTAAGTTTACCCTATAATTTGAATTCCAAAGTATATTCTGTGAGTAAAATAAACAATATTTTCACAGTCAGACCACAAATAAACTGTCTTTATGAACCTATTGTTATGTGGTGAATTTGGGAAAAATATAAATTTCAGTTAATAAATATGATCAACAAATCTAGGCTCTTTATAGGTGTAAAAGAATCAGTAGAAATTTGTATTTTTTATGGGTTTAAAAACAATTTTTAAAAAAATTTTACAATCTCTTTGTTTCTTTTAAAAAAATTAGAATTTAGAATTACCTTGTATTCAATTACTGGTGAATTTCCTAATGTCAAGTGTTCAATAATGCGTGTAGTCAAGTTATTATTCATCATCAAAGCATTTAATATTACGTTTCTAAATATTGATATATGTAAGCAACTATTCCATCTAGGAATTTGTAAAACATTAAAACTAAATGCATCTCTTACATCATAAATATAACTGTCCAGTCCATTACCAATAGCTTGTAAATCCAAATCTAAAAATTCAACCTTATTCGATTTAAAATTTGTTTGCAATAATTTTAGATGACATAAATACATAGAAGTCTATGTTGAAATACCGTAGAACGAACAAATATACCTATAATCATGCCATCTACACATCTGAATAAAAATAGGATAAATTACTTATTTGAGCCAAATCATATAATACAAATAATCAGAATATAATAATAGTAATTACTACCTGGAGCACTTTTAGGCTAACCTTTAATTTGTTTATAAAGTTTATTATCAAAAATGATAAAATTCTCGTGCAAAACATATTTAATGAGTGCATTAAAATTTTCAGTAATCAAAATTTTCCAATCCATATTTCTCATATGTAATAAATTTTATCCTGATTATTTCTTCGGTAGCAATAGAGTTAAATAAGCCATCAAAATCAAAACTATACACAGAAAAAAAAACATCTCATTGTATATTTATATACATAATATGACAGAAACAAGAATTAGTAGTAAGTATAAGTCCTGCATATCAATTAGAAGGGAATAAAATTCTGAAAATGAAAACCTAGAGCCAGAGACCTAATAAAAGAATATGGAAAACTTAATAACTTACTAAAAATGCGTAATTATTATGTTTTCTAAAGCTAACACAGATTAAGGGTTATGATGTAGACTTGAGCGTGTTTTATGGAACCAAATATTAACCTTTCAGCAGAAAGTTTAAACATATAATAGTACAAGAAAAATAATGAATGAAAAAAGAATCACCTAGTTATATATATATATATATATATATATACGATTAAATCAATTCCTACTTAGGTCAACAAAGAGAAAAATTTTATTTTATTACTTTTTATTAATTTATTAAATAATTACAATTAGTATAAGTATATACATACATATGACCGAATCACAATATTAAGTGGCAAAATAGAAAGCGATTTTCCTTGCAATTTTCCTTTCTATATATGATGTTGAATTATTATTTTTGTTATTATTAAATCATTCATAAATCACATTCTCAGAAATTAGGCCATCCCAGGTAGGGTTCGAACCCAGGAATTTTGGATTAGAAGTCCAACGCACTATTTATTGCGCTACAAGGATACAACGAGCTATTTTCCTTTTTATATATATGGTGTTGGACTATTATTTTTGTTTGTTACTATTTATTCATTTTTTAATGTAATTAATGAATTAATATTTGAAATAACTCTATTAACATCAAGTGTCATCCTCTACAAGTTTAAAAAAGTGTATTTAAACTTGAGTGGATGGATAAAAATTATTTTATTAACGATTGAAAATTTGAACAAGATTTAACTAGGGAGAGTGGCAACTAATAGTAGAAATCGAAAAATATCACATAAGAGGTAAGCTAAAAGTTTACACGTGCATTCGAATACATACATATTTCAGAGCAACTGAATATCCTAGTACTTGAATAATTTGAATAAACGAAATTCACCGAAATAATAGTTTCTATTCTTCTGTAACTTATATTTGAAACAGAATCTTCTCAAAAAAGGAATTCTCGATAGAAAGTTCATTTCGAAGTTATTCAGTGTTAACAGAAAAACCAGACATCATATTAACTTTATAAAGGATAAAGCCCTTTGCACTTAAAGTGTTTGTTCGTTAAGACTTGAATGAAAGATTTCCTTTTAGGGATTTATCATTTAATTCCTTCAAAATACAAAATCTTACTTGTAAGAATGTATTTGGAATAGTGTGAATTGGAAAAGGATTTTCATTCTCTTATGATCATTAATAAGGAATTAAATATCATTTAAACTATTATCGAAATATTTTTTTAAAAAATAATCAGAATCTTCAGGTGAGCATTACCAAATTTGATTACCGATTTATTTTGATACACAAGTTTTACATTTAGTGTGGCATTTTTAAATTAATCCAACATTTTTTTTCTGAGAACCTCATTTGTTATATATAAACTTCGTAATTAATTAGCTTTGATCGTAACATGTTTGGATTATTCTATAAATACAAGTTAGAATACTTGTAGTTACAAGTAAGCTCAGTCATTTTTAATATTTTTTTATGTGGGAAATGAAAGCTGTGAACAATCAGCAATAATTAACTATTTCGAAAGAAAAACCATTTAAGAAATTAGTTTATTTACATTTACTAAACTTAAAAATACTCTGAGTTAGAGATTAAGCAAGCTATAAAATCTGCCGTTAATTTTCGAATTTTCTCATTCATTTAGTCAAAACTTATTTCAAAAACAGATAATATATTTAGAACTTACTATTTCACTAACTCAATAGATGTATAAAGAATCAAAAATTCATCTGGGATAATATTCCATCCAGAAAGTAATAGAGTTTTAAAAAATTATTTCATTGAAGGAGTCTAGCATTGGGCAAACTACGGCCCCCAGACTTCGCTACTCATCTAGAAGTTTAAACTGACTTACTGCAGACCTTGAAAAAAATGCAGAAGTTTTTAGTTTGAATATGTAGAAATGTATTTAACGGAGTGTTTCTTTTTTTTATGTATTCGAAAATTTCTACAGAAATTTGAACATTTTTGGTAAATGCAAAATATAGTTTTGAGAATTTATATTAGAATTTATAATATAAATTCATGTTAATAAATATGCATGTGGCATAGTTAAAATATACCTATTTATTTTATATTTAAATTAAAGTTTTAAAAAACAAAAAATGTGGTCACAGATGCTTCTTTCATCTTATATTAAGAGATTTTCAAAAAATACTATTTCTTTAGTTTTTATTTCACTTAACAATAAATTATATCGACCTTTCAAGAATTGTCTAAAAAAGATAGTCTACCACTGCGGTAAATGATCAATTCTAGAAAAACAAGCAAGCTATTTTTAAATGATTTCTTGTACACATGGAATTTATTGCATTTCGATGCAATAAAATACGAATGAGTGTAAACGACAGAAATGAGATTCTCAGTATGTGAGAAATTCTAGCACTTTCTCCTCTTCTACATCATTTCACTCGTAGCAATACAAAATGATTACTTCTTCGAAAAACTTAATTTGTACCCTGTAGGTTGCGAAATGTTGTGTGATTATCGCTCAGCAGACCATTTGATACTTCCAAGGCATTTACTTAACTATCATTATAAGAGGGAGAACTTAATTTACTAGGTACTAGTTCTAAGATAGTAGTACATAATGCAAATGTGGTGTTTAATCTTCTTTAGTAGCAATCTCCGATTTAATTCAGTGGAAAGTTAGTTCTATTCACTAAGCACGCAGTTTATTCATCTTTTGTGCTGAGATCACGATATATTTAATCACTTTTTGGGGTTAAAGTTTTATTTAAAACAATATTTAGGATATCTTTTAAAGAAATAGTCTTAAAAATAACATTAAAGTAAAATTACCATGTATATTATTGATAAGATTATTTTTTCAAATTGCTCTCTTAAACCAGTTATGTTTGAAACACGTTTTTCATTTGCAATATTCTTTACTTATTTTACATAGATGGAAAAAAACGAACGGTTTGAACGGTTTAACACTACAACGTCCATCAATATGTATTGGACACCGGAGATTCTTTAGTTTGTTCTCCTTTCCACATTTTTACAGGGAATTTGAAAATTTTTCGTCACTTTTAATCGTTTTTCATGGTAATTATACAGAAAAAGTTTTGTGGTTCTAGGTTAGTTTGGAGAAATTTTACAACTAAATATACCTAGAACGACCACTGGTATCGTTTCTACACCAAGGCAATTTATCATTATAAATAGCTGTCGTTCAGCAAAAGATAGTCTATTAGGTAGATGCCATTGGTAAAACAAACTTCCGAAAGTAATATCGCACATTTATTTGACCTTGAATGCAATGTTATTGGGCTCACAACGAAAATGAGTTAGTTATACCAAAATCACTGTGTCTAAGTGTTACGTTACATAGCATTTACTTATCTGCTATAAAAAAATTTCATTCAATTTTTGAACCTTGTGCAGATCAGACATCCTAAAAGGACGACTCATAGAAAAAGTGTAAGCCCTGATGAAATTGCTAACTTGTTGCGACGGCTTTCTGAGAATGAATGCGATGATGGTGTGTGAGATGTTCTAATTTAAATTCCGATGAAGACATAAGATTGAGTGAAAGTGACTGCCTGCGAAGAATCTAAAGAAAGTCAGATAAAATTGATAATGTTCCAGTAAACCTTGATATATATGTCGCTAAGCATGGGACAGAATGGACACCGCATAATAGTAATGTTCCTGGCAGATTTGTGACTCGAAATGTTTTGTGACACAGCAGTGGTCCAAGAAGCTTAGCGAAACATAATGTCAACGCCAGGTTTTTTATGATATAAAGGGTCATAATATTAGGTTGCCAAGTATGAAAGGAAGCAAAGTTCTTGTTATTTATTTCAATTGCACATAACCTCTATTAGACGCCGTATTTTGGCGTAATTTGTTTTTCTTGTGAAAGGTACATCTTTTCCTCTTTTTAACGCATATTTCAGTTTGAAAAAAAATTAACAGATCACCTTAAAATCTTAGTTTTTATTGTGAAAAAAAAATCGAAATCAATTATGTGCATTTTTTTATCCATTTTATACTTGATAACCTAATATGTGATAATTGCATGAAATAATATTAAAAAGTCTGAAAACTAAACCCTACTGAACAGTGAATTATTTAGTTATTACACCTATTTTATATATTTTATATTGCGGTGTCGAAACGACACCGGTGAACGTTTAAGGGTAATCGAAATCCAGGATGTTCTAGTGTTAATATACTTAATACAAATTCCATTCTGTTCTACATTCGTATTAGCTTTATGAATCTTCTTTTTTTTTATCAGTGTACAATATTACGTAAGTGTTTTGGTTTAAATTCAGAACAGTTTAACCTCATTACTTGTGCTGATAGAACTTACTCTTGCATTTACAGATTCTTAACTCAAAATTTAAAAATACAAGAAAACGTTTCATGGCTTATACTCCTTAAATCCCATTGGTACCTTCACAAACACACATTTGCTTTGTTTTAGGAACAAAGTAATCATCCCTTTCAACAGAAAAGTTATTTTTATTACGAAATTCACAGTATACATGTTTTTCATGCCAGCAAATGTTATTCTTATCTAACTTCATTTAAGTAAACAGTTTTATTTTCTTTTCAACCTTATAGTCTTTTATTTTTTAAATATTATAGTTTTCCCCTCTCATATTTCAATAAATGTTAGTCTGACATATTATTTACTCATGTTTTCAACTAACTTTATTCTTATCTCTTAATTAAGTAGAAGGAAAATACATCTTTCTTACCCAATTAACATAGTTTTCATTTTCTTTATCTGCATAAACACAACCTACAATTTCTTAGCCACATGTGCAACAAGCACAGTACTCTAATTAAAAATCATGAATGTTCCTCTCCTATTTAATAAACAAGGTATCCGAACATACCATTCTTTATTAAGTCCCTGCTTGCGTAAATTTCTTAATTCAAATTCTGATAGTACACCATTTGTCCCGCAAAATGAACACGTTTTCCCGTTGAGAGACCTTACGTAACAAACCTAATTACGATGGAGTGATGATCTTCATCATTAAATAATACATTTTCCGAAATAACACCCGATTAACATTTATTCAATAAGCATTATTGGACTCTTTCCCAGCCCCATTGATTGCTTAAGGGAACATATCGTTCCGCAGTAACATTACAGTCTTCTAATCAAACGCCTTCGAATGCAAAATTCAAGTTATTACATCTGCTCGCAAAACGCATTGACTCGAGTTGACTTTCCATAGTTATTGTAATTACAGATTAATATCTTAATAACGATTATGGAAGAAAGGTTTCGTAAATTCGTGTAACTGTTGAAATGTACTACCATTTGTTTCGAATAATTGAATTCGAAAAGCGAACAGAAATAACAGACAGATTGAAAATCAATGAATTTGTTTTCCTTTCTCCTTTTTGTCTTGAGATAAACATACTTTACATATTTTACTACTCAATTAATCTTCAAAAACAATATTATTAACTATTCTTTTGTCAGTACAGGCTATAGAATGAAATTAAGGATGCACTGATTGTTTTGATAATATAAGAGAGAACGGACAAAA